TTTGTCCCCATAAGGGAGGCGAGTCCCCACACGTGACTATGTAAACAGATGTAGGTCCCCACAAGTATAGTGATGCTAGACCACACACACACACACACACACACACACACACACACACACACACACACACACACACACACACACACACACACACACACACACCTGGAGGGAAGTTTTCGATGCAATCACATGGAGTGAAATTAGTATCAAGAAAAGTAAGAACTGGTCATTTTTGGTTATAGTTATAGTTTCAGCAGGTACATTTTTTTAATTATTTGTAATAATAATAATATAAAATGTTGCATTTTGATTTTAATCGTCTTCAAATTTCCAAAGCGGAAAACATATTTGGGTTATTTCAATATTATTTTTCAAATTTTAAGCAATTACACTGTTTCTTTATGCAAACCTTGAAAATGTGCATAAAAACAAGTGGATAGAAAAACACAAAATGATAACTCGTGTTTTTAGGTTCCTGTCATCCATCTTACGCTTCATCAGATATTCCAGCACTGGTGAAAACAGCCTGCAGACAGTGTGTGTGTGTGTGTCCCTTCTTTTATCATCAGTACAGAACATGTTGGAGGGTTACCTGGAGGGAGTCGTACATATCCTGCAGCATGTCACACACACGCACGCACGCACACGCACACGCACACACACACACACACACACACACACACACACACACACACACACACACACACACACACACACACTATTTGAGGACCAATAAGAGGCTTTATGTGTTTTTTTTGGATTAAGGTTAAAATGCGGTTAATTTAAATGTTGGTGTTAAGTCCGTGTATATCAGTATGTAGTGTCTCTACTTTAAAGAGTCCTCTCCTGCTGATGTTCAGGTGTTTATCAGTATGTAGTGTCTCTACTTTAAAGAGTCCTCTCCTGCTGATGTTCAGGTGTATATCAGTATGTAGGGTCTCTACTTTAAAGAGTCCTCTCCAGCTGATGTTCAGGTGTATATCAGTATGTAGTGTCTCTACTTTAAAGAGTCCTCTCCTGCTGATGTTCAGGTGTATATCAGTATGTAGTGTCTCTACTTTAAAGAGTCCTCTCCTGCTGATGTTCAGGTGTATATCAGTATGTAGTGTCTCTACTTTAAAGAGTCCTCTCCTGCTGATGTTCAGGTGTATATCAGTATGTAGTGTCTCTACTTTAAAGAGTCCTCTCCTGCTGATGTTCAGGTGTATATCAGTATGTAGTGTCTCTACTTTAAAGAGTCCTCTCCTGCTGATGTTCAGGTGTATATCAGTATGTAGTGTCTCTACTTTAAAGAGTCCTCTCCTGCTGATGTTCAGGTGTATATCAGTATGTAGTGTCTCTACTTTAAAGAGTCCTCTCCTGCTGATGTTCAGGTGTATATCAGTATGTAGTGTCTCTACTTTAAAGAGTCCTCTCCTGCTGATGTTCAGGTGTATATCAGTATGTAGTGTCTCTACTTTAAAGAGTCCTCTCCTGCTGATGTTCAGGTGTATATCAGTATGTAGTGTCTGCTTCCGTTCTGAACCTTTTGCATTAGTGATGTCCACGTTTTGAGAGTGTGTGAGGCAGTGTGTGAAGTGTGTGTGTAGGAATGGCCTTTTGAGACCTTCCATTAGACTTCTATGTTTGAGCGTACTCTCTCAGCGTTCCCTCCTCCACCTGTAGCGCTGACCCTCACAACAACGCTCAGGGAAAGACACACATTAAGGCCGACCTTCTCGTCTTTTTTCTGCTCAACGTCATTTTTCAGGTTCTGTAATGATTTCAGAAAGTTGAATGAAATTTCCAAGTTTGATGCGTATCCTATGCCCAGGATAGATGAGCTGATTGATCGGCTTGGGGAAGCCAGATATATCAGCACTCTGGACTTGACGAAAGGGTATTGGCAGGTCCCACTTGAAGCAGCCTCAAGAGAGAAGACGGCCTTCGCCACCCCCACAGGGCTGTACCAATAGACGGTGCTTCCCTTCGGGCTTCATGGAGCACCAGCCACGTTCCAGAGACTGATGGACAAGGTTCTGAGGCCACATCGTGAGTATGCAGCTGCCTATTTGGATGACGTTGTGATCCACAGTGACTCATGGGATAGCCATCTCACAAGGCTTGCAGCAGTGCTGGAATCTCTCCGAAGGGCGGGCTTGACAGCCAATCCAAGAAAATGCAAGCTTGGACTGGAGGAAGCCGAATACCTGGGCTTCACCATTGGGCGGGGCAACGTTAGACCACAAGAAAGGAAGGTTCAGGCGATTCAGGACTGGCCACGGCCGTCAACAAAGAAACAGGTGAAAACCTTCTTGGGTCTGACGTCCTACTATTGCCGTTTCATCCCAAACTTCTCCACAGTCGCCTCTCCCCTTACAGACCTGACCAGAGACTCACAGCCGCTAATGGTCAAGTGGACAGGAGAGGCTGAACACGCCTTTGAGGGACTTAAGAGGGCTCTCTGCGCACGGCCGGTGTTGGTGACCCCAGACTTCAGCCGGGGGATGATTGTGCAGACGGATGCGTCAGAGGTGGGCATAGGAGCAGTACTATCCCAGGAGGTTCAAGGTGAGGAACACCCCGTCATGTACATCAGCCGGAAGCTGAACACAAGGGAACAAGGGTATGCTACTGTGGAGAAAGAAGGCCTAGCAATAAAATGGGCGCTTGAGCGCCTCCGGTATTACCTCTTGGGACGACACTTCACTCTGGTAACTGATCATGCCCCGCTGATCTGGATGGTAAATAAAAAAGACACAAATGCTAAAGTAGGAAGGTGGTTTGTCTCACTACAAGAGTTTAACTTCTCTATCATCCACAGAGCCGGAGCTAAGCATGGGAATGCAGATGCTCTGTCCCGTAGAGATGCCCTGTGGACCATGGTCACCTCTCCTCGGCCAGAACTGAAGGGGGGGGTGTGTAAGGGACTGGGAGGCAGAGTAGTGGGAGGCACCAACATTCCCTATAGGTGGCTCCACCCGCTGCCAATTATCAGTATTGGGAGCAGGTGGGGAGACCTCACACCTGGTGCTAATCACTCCCTCAAGGGAGATAAAAGCACCTAGAGTTGCTCAGTTGTGTGTGGCACATGGAGGGAGCAGGAGACTCCCAGCGTGAGGACACAGTTGTAAGCTGGCAAGTCGGTTAGCGGCCCGGCTACGTTAGCCTTTCTATTGTAAAAGGTATTTTTTAGTTGAACAGCAATAAAGCCTCTTTTTGGATTTGAACACTGCCTCTGTCGTGACTGCTTCACTACCATTTTCCTCTTTATCTGCCCCGGCCTGTTAGTCATTTTTCACGGTGAGTTTGGTTTTCTTTTTCACTTAACTCTTTACAAAAGGAAAGACAAAACACAAGGTAAATAGAATGTGCCTTCTCTCCTGTGAAAGAGAGCAAGAACACGACATTCCTCCGAAGGTTAAAAGCTATCTTCTTTAAGGTAAAGCTCAGAATTGAGAAGCTGTGATTGAAGGAAAGACAAATGTTTTATAGGCATCTTTATATCCCATGCAAAGTGTATTCTGAAGACTTTCCTCAAGTTGCTGAATGTTTTCTAAATGCGTCATGTGTTGTGAAGTTGCTGAAGATGTTTCTGCATGTGTTTTGGTTTTTATATTTAACTTTCTTTTTGCAGCTGGTTTCTCTTAATGTTAATGTTAGGGCCGTTGTAGCGCATTTGCACCTCACATAGTCAGGTTGAGAGCGAAGCAGGACCAAAATGCAGATAAACAGAAAATACCTTTATTTCAAGGCTTAATGAAACAAACTTGGACAAAACAGAACTCTCACCCCGTGAACAACGTCCAACTACCACAAGGACTAAGACTAACAGAAAACACAGAACCTAAATGCACACATGAGACAGGTGAGGAGGGAGGAGGAAACACAGGGGCACCAGGTGAACACAATCAGGTAATCAGGGAGGGAACACAGACAGAAACCAACAGGCAGAACAGGAGGTGAACACTTTTCAAAATAAAACAGGAAACCAAAGACAGAAAAAGACAAAACACAGACAGATCGTAACCATGTGACCATCAGCCAATGTGCACCCAAAAGGGTATTTTGGCACCTTTTCAACTCTGGGATGTAATTAGAAGTCCTCCTTGTCTAAAAACTCAACAAAGATATACCTTTGACTCTGTGTGTCCAAATAGCATTGCTCCTGGAATATACCTTGATGTGTTAAGCATATTGCGACATTACATAAGGCCCTGCACTTCAAAAGGTCCCGAGCAGCATGAAATAAAGTAATTACAACAACATCATTGTGTTTATACAGGAGTCAGAATCAAGAGCTCTTGAGGAGAATACTGCAGTGTACATTCTGCTGGTTAGTGAAACGTTCATTACGCCTGATCAAAGTATATCCAGCGGGGAGAGAGTGGGGGGAGAGACGAGAGGATGATGCAAGCCTTAAGCCTTTCATTTGATTAAGGGACAACGGCAAGGACTCAAATCAATGCCTGCAGCCTCGACGCCCGGTCCTAATGTCATCATCACAGAGCAGCGGGGGACGTTTGCATTCACTTCCCACCACCAAGGAATTTGTGAAGAAGGCAAAGTCAGATAGGAGGGAAACAGGAGTTTGAGTGTTACTTTGAGATAACTCCGACAGCCTGAGGCATCATTTGCATTACAGTCGAGTTCCTTCTCTGAAGTCTCAAAGTTGTTTTTTTAACACTGGAAGTCATTTGATATTTCGGTTCCTGACAAATATATAATTGGGATTCTTCGTCTCGGTTTGATTGTTTGTTTGTTTGTCAGCCGGATTACAAAGAACTACAGGTGCCATTTTAATCAACCTTGGTGGAAGAGTGAAGACGGAAGAACCCATTAAAATTGTGGAGTGTATTTGGATACGGAGCGGATACACAACTTGTGTTTCGCTCTCATTACCATTGAGAGAAAGGGCAGAAAATACCCCTCTTCACTGAGAAAATTCATGTTGCATGAAACCATTTCCTCTCGTCCTGTGTCCTTATCAATAGAGACATTTTAAAGTGTTTTCTGTAGAGATGGTCACGGTGTCAGATGAGGTAGACTTCAGACTACAGACGACATGTACACCTGCCAAATATTCATTGATTTTGATGCGTTCCTTTAATTCCTTTATGGGTTTTTCAGTCCCTCCATGACTATCGTTAACACATTGATATTGTAGTGAAATTTAATGAGGGAACACCATTTTCTATATGCACAAAAATACCCCCCAAAAAAGTTCCAAGCTCCAACAAGCCGTTTAGGACAGAGAGTGAATACACAGACTATACAGAGATGCTGTGAGAAACCAATGTGAGTTTGGAACATTGAACAATGTAATAATAATAATAATAATGCATTTTATTTATATAGCGCTTTTCACAACTCAAAGACGCTTTACAGTATGAGGGAGGGTAGACAAACAAGGACAGGCAAACAAGTAAGTATAGTAAAATAAAAAAATAAAAAGGCAGTCAAGAGGAAGTTGATTGAGAGGGGGGGGCGGGGCTTATGGGTAGACAGAGTTGAAAAGATGTGTTTTGAGGCGGGACTGAAAGACTGTGAGGGACTCAGAGTCACGGAGATCTTAGGGGAGGGACTTCCAGAGCCTAGGAGCTGCCACTGAGAAGGCTCTGTCCCCAAAGCTGCAGAGTGTGGATGTGGGAATGGATAGGAGTCCGGCTGCGGTGGATCTGAGGGACCGTGGGGGTTGATAAGGAGTGAGAAGGTTTGTGAGATAAGGGGGGGCCAGATGGTGGAGTTCTTTGTAGGTGAGGACCAGAACTTTGTAGTTGATGCGATGGGAGACAGGAAGCCAGTGGAGGTCTTTGAGGACTGGGGTGATGTGATGCCATGATTTGGTATGCGCGAGGAGACGTGCAGCTGCATTTTGAACCCGTTGGAGTCTGTTGAGGGATGTAGTGCTGATGCCGTAAAGAAGTGAGTTGCAGTAGTCGAGGCGGGAGGAAATGAAGGCATGGATTAGTCGTTCGGCTGCGGGGCGGGTGAGAGAGGGTAGGATTTTTGCAACATTGCAGAGGTGGAAAAATGAGGTCGAGACTGTTTGGCGGATGTGAGGTTCGAGGGAGAGGGTGGGGTCAAAGATCACGCCAAGGTTGCGTGCCTGATTGGAGGGAGAAACAATGGTGCCATCGATGGTGAGAGTTATGTTAGTGACCTTGCTGAGGGTGGATTTGGAGTTCTGTTTTGTTGCTGTTCAGTTTGAGGTTATGTTGCATCCAAGTTTTAATAGCTGTCAGACAGGAATCGATGTGGGTAAGGGGTGGGTTATGGAGTAGACCTCAACAATGGAATTATGATCAGTAGAAATGGCCATGACATGGGACCTTTAATCTACTTCTTCTTAAAGGGCCCATATTATGCTTTTGTGGGTTTATCTAGGTTTTAGTGCATGCAAATGGGTTGCAAAGCTAAAATCCGAAAGCCATTTATTTTGAATGTATTACCTGTTTGTTGCAAGACAATTATTAATGAAGACAAAAGCCCAAATCCACCCAAATCATCCTCTCTCACCATCTGGCCAATCCCCCAATCTACTGCATTTTTTAAATGTTTCTTTCATTCAAATACATTACAAGCAACAACAAAACACATTTTCATGCATTTCGAGACACACTTTGGGGATAATTACAAAAAGTCTAAATAGTGGAAATATGAACTGTTTCATGTCATTGTTTTATTGCACAAGTCTCACCACTTTACCCGTGAAAGGACTCAAGAATGTATTAACATTCATGGCAGGAACTCTGACAAAAGACTCCAGCTATGATCTGGTGTTGTGCTGAAGGGACTGCGCAGGTTAATTGCTGTGCATACACTTTATCTTTTGGGTTTAACCTCGGGAATGTCTCACCCAAAAAGAGTCCAAAACATCTGAACACAGCAAACCTGGCAGAGGAGTATCGACCGGAAGCTTCTGGGAAACAAGTGAGCGGCCGTCAGAGCTCAATATTGTTTTCAAAGTCCTCCCTCCGGCTACGAGAGATAAAAGTTTCATGTTACAAAGCTGGCTGCTGACAAAAGTAACTTTAACTCCTCGTTGAGTTCAATATTTAAGCGTCGCTCCTCTTGCTGAGAAATTTAAAATGTGCTGAATGTTTTTTGTCCGTGAGCGTTTTTCTGTGTCAATATCACGGCTCCTCTCAGGATCCTCCGCACCACACGAGGAGAGGATATCAATGTTGACTAAAGAAAGGTGTTTTGTTTTGCTGCATGGATTCAAAGACACAAGCAAAGTGCCCTAAAAGGGAGAAGCCCCCTGCGTGGACGTCAACGAGGGCATAGAGCCACAAGGAAAGGCTTTAAGAAACACAAATACATGCAAGTATAATCCTTCATGGATTGCACAGAACATTCAGGAACACAGCGGTGTGTTTTCAAGCATCCCCGTTACTGCAAATAATATCATTTGGTTTATTGTTTCCAACACGCTAAGCCAATTGAGGTTGTTTTTATATTTGCCTCATGTTTTATGCAGACATTTATTTCCATACGGTATTAAAATCAATAAAGTGCTGCTGGTTTTGCATAAAATGTTTCATTATCTGCCAACAGTTTTAATGCAATAATGTATGTCTCTGTGAGAGGACTCTTTAAAGTAGAGACACTACATACTGATATACACCTGAACATCAGCAGGAGAGGACTCTTTAAAGTAGAGACACTACATACTGATATGAACCTGAACATCAGCAGGAGAGGACTCTTTAAAGTAGAGACACTACATACTGATATACACCTGAACATCAGCAGGAGAGGACTCTTTAAAGTAGAGACACTACATACTGATATACACCTGAACATCAGCAGGAGAGGACTCTTTAAAGTAGAGACACTACATACTGATATACACCTGAACATCAGCAGGAGAGGACTCATTAAAGTAGAGACACTACATACTGATATACACCTGAACATCAGCAGGAGAGGACTCTTTAAAGTAGAGACACTACATACTGATATACACCTGAACATCAGCAGGAGAGGACTCTTTAAAGTAGAGACACTACATACTGATATACACCTGAACATCAGCAGGAGAGGACTCTTTAAAGTAGAGACACTACATACTGATATGAACCTGAACATCAGCAGGAGAGGACTCTTTAAAAGTAGAGACACTACATACTGATATACACCTGAACATCAGCAGGAGAGGACTCTTTAAAGTAGAGACACTACATACTGATATACACCTGAACATCAGCAGGAGAGGACTCTTTAAAGTAGAGACACTACATACTGATATACACCCTGAACATCAGCAGGAGAGGACTCATTAAAGTAGAGACACTACATACTGATATACACCTGAACATCAGCAGGAGAGGACTCTTTAAAGTAGAGACACTACATACTGATATACACCTGAACATCAGCAGGAGAGGACTCTTTAAAGTAGAGACACTACATACTGATATACACCTGAACATCAGCAGGAGAGGACTCTTTAAAGTAGAGACACTACATACTGATATACACCTGAACATCAGCAGGAGAGGACTCTTTAAAGTAGAGACACTACATACTGATATACACCTGAACATCAGCAGGAGAGGACTCTTTAAAGTAGAGACACTACATACTGATATACACCTGAACATCAGCAGGAGAGGACTCATTAAAGTAGAGACACTACATACTGATATACACCTGAACATCAGCAGGAGAGGACTCTTTAAAGTAGAGACACTACATACTGATATACACCTGGACATCAGCAGGAGAGGACTCTTTAAAGTAGAGACACTACATACTGATATACACCTGGACATCAGCAGGAGAGGACTCTTTAAAGTAGAGACACTACATACTGATATACACCTGAACATCAGCAGGAGAGGACTCTTTAAAGTAGAGACACTACATACTGATATACACCTGAACATCAGCAGGAGAGGACTCTTTAAAGTAGAGACACTACATACTGATATACACCTGAACATCAGCAGGAGAGGACTCTTTAAAGTAGAGACACTACATACTGATATACACCTGAACATCATCAGGAGAGGACTCTTTAAAGTAGAGACACTACATACTGATATACACCTGAACATCAGCAGGAGAGGACTCTTTAAAGTAGAGACACTACATACTGATATACACCTGAACATCAGCAGGAGAGGACTCATTAAAGTAGAGACACTACATACTGATATACACCTGAACATCAGCAGGAGAGGACTCTTTAAAGTAGAGACACTACATACTGATATACACCTGAACATCAGCAGGAGAGGACTCTTTAAAGTAGAGACACTACATACTGATATACACCTGAACATCAGCAGGAGAGGACTCTTTAAAGTAGAGACACTACATACTGATATACACCTGAACATCAGCAGGAGAGGACTCTTTAAAGTAGAGACACTACATACTGATATACACCTGAACATCAGCAGGAGAGGACTCTTTAAAGTAGAGACACTACATACTGATATACACCTGAACATCAGCAGGAGAGGACTCATTAAAGTAGAGACACTACATACTGATATACACCTGAAACATCAGCAGGAGAGGACTCTTAAAGTAGAGACACTACATACTGATATACACCTGGACATCAGCAGGAGAGGACTCTTTAAAGTAGAGACACTACATACTGATATACACCTGGACATCAGCAGGAGAGGACTCTTTAAAGTAGAGACACTACATACTGATATACACCTGAACATCAGCAGGAGAGGACTCATTAAAGTAGAGACCACTACATACTGATATACACCTGAACATCAGCAGGAGAGGACTCTTTAAAGTAGAGACACTACATACTGATATACACCTGGACATCAGCAGGAGAGGACTCTTTAAAGTAGAGACACTACATACTGATATACACCTGAACATCAGCAGGAGAGGACTCTTTAAAGTAGAGACACTACATACTGATATACACCTGAACATCAGCAGGAGAGGACTCTTTAAAGTAGAGACACTACATACTGATATACACCTGAACATCAGCAGGAGAGGACTCTTTAAAGTAGAGACACTACATACTGATATACACCTGAACATCAGCAGGAGAGGACTCTTTAAAGTAGAGACACTACATACTGATATACACCTGGACATCAGCAGGAGAGGACTCTTTAAAGTAGAGACACTACATACTGATATACACCTGAACATCAGCAGGAGAGGACTCTTTAAAGTAGAGACACTACATACTGATATACACCTGAACATCAGCAGGAGAGGACTCTTTAAAGTAGAGACACTACATACTGATATACACCTGAACATCAGCAGGAGAGGACTCTTTAAAGTAGAGACACTACATACTGATATACACCTGAACATCAGCAGGAGAGGACTCTTTAAAGTAGAGACACTACATACTGATATACACCTGAACATCAGCAGGAGAGGACTCTTTAAAGTAGAGACACTACATACTGATATACACCTGAACATCAGCAGGAGAGGACTCTTTAAAGTAGAGACACTACATACTGATATACACCTGAACATCAGCAGGAGAGGACTCTTTAAAGTAGAGACACTACATACTGATATACACCTGGACATCAGCAGGAGAGGACTCTTTAAAGTAGAGACACTACATACTGATATACACCTGGACATCAGCAGGAGAGGACTCTTTAAAGTAGAGACACTACATACTGATATACACCTGGACATCAGCAGGAGAGGACTCTTTAAAGTAGAGACACTACATACTGATATACACCTGAACATCGGCAGGAGAGGACTCTTTAAAGTAGAGACACTACATACTGATATACACCTGAACATCAGCAGGATAGGACTCTTTAAAGTAGAGACACTACATACTGATATACACCTGAACATCAGCAGGAGAGGACTCTTTAAAGTAGAGACACTACATACTGATATACACCTGAACATCAGCAGGAGAGGACTCTTTAAAGTAGAGACACTACATACTGATAAACACCTGAACATCAGCAGGAGAGGACTCTTTAAAGTAGAGACACTACATACTGATATACACCTGAACATCAGCAGGATAGGACTCTTTAAAGTAGAGACACTACATACTGATATACACCTGAACATCAGCAGGATAGGACTCTTTAAAGTAGAGACACTACATACTGATATACACCTGAACATCAGCAGGATAGGACTCTTTAAAGTAGAGACACTACATACTGATATACACCTGAACATCAGCAGGAGAGGACTCTTTAAAGTAGAGACACTACATACTGATATACACCTGAACATCAGCCGGATAGGACTCTTTAAAGTAGAGACACTACATACTGATATACACCTGAACATCAGCAGGAGAGGACTCTTTAAAGTAGAGACACTACATACTGATAAACACCTGAACATCAGCAGGAGAGGACTCTTTAAAGTAGAGACACTACATACTGATAAACACCTGAACATCAGCAGGAGAGGACTCTTTAAAGTAGAGACACTACATACTGATAAACACCTCAAAATGAGCATGATATATCTTATTTTTGTCCGTTGTTGTTCTACCATCACTTCGTTCCCCTCTCACTCTTCCCACATGTGATACTGAAGCATCTTTCTGTTGCCTTAAAGGCTTTTGACCTCTTCTTGTCTGCTTCTCCATCTCCTCACACCACCTCTCTCCATCTATCCATCACTCCAGGTTGCCAGAGGTATAAACATTCCATGTAGCGAGTGTCTGCAGGGCTGCACATCTCCTTTTCTGCAGAACCTTGACCCCCCACCTCTCCACCTCTCCATCCTCACATCCTCACATCCTCACCACCTCCTCTCGCACAGAAGCCAGGAGTAATAGCTAATAGTTAATAGTTGGCCTTGGCAGGAAGCAGCCGGAAGGAGAAGTCAGTGAGGACGAGGATGACCGGACTGAGAGGCTTTTGTTGGAGAAACAGGAGACAATAGGAGAGACAGGAGCAGAGACAGGAGGAGAGACAGGAGGAGAGACAGGAGGAGAGACAGGAGCAGAGACAGGAGGAGAGACAGGAGGAGAGACAGGAGCAGAGACAGGAGGAGAGACAGGAGGAGAGACAAGAGGAGAGACAAGAGGAGAGACAGGAGGAGAGACAGGAGGATAGACAAGAGGAGAGACAAGAGGGGAGACAAGAGGGGAGACAAGAGGAGAGACAAGAGGAGAGACAAGAGGAGAGACAAGAGGAGAGACAAGAGGAGAGACAAGAGGGGAGACAAGAGGGGAGACAAGAGGAGAGACAAGAGGAGAGACAAGAGGAGAGGCAATAGGAGAGACAAGAGGGGAGACAATAGGAGATACAATAGGAGAGACAAGAGGAGAGACAGGAGGAGAGACAGGAGGAGAGACAGGAGGAGAGACAAGAGGAGAGACAGGAGCAGAGACAGGAGGAGAGACAAGAGGAGAGACAAGAGGAGAGACAAGAGGAGAGACAGGAGGAGAGACAGGAGGAGAGACAGGAGGAGAGACAGGAGGAGAGACAAGAGGATAGACAAAAGGAGAGAGGAGAGACAAGAGGAGAGACAAGAGGAGAGACAAGAGGAGAGGCAATAGGAGAGACAAGAGGGGAGACAATAGGAGATACAATAGGAGAGACAAGAGGAGAGACAGGAGGAGAGACAGGAGGAGAGACAGGAGGAGAGACAAGAGGAGAGACAAGAGGAGAGACAGGAGGAGAGACAAGAGGAGAGACAATAGGAGAGACAAGAGGAGAGACAAGAGGAGATACAATAGGAGAGACAAGAGGAGAGACAGGAGGAGAGACAGGAGGAGAGACAGGAGGAGAGACAAGAGGAGAGACAAGAGGAGAGACAGGAGGAGAGACAAGAGGAGAGACAATAGGAGAGACAAGAGGAGAGACAAGAGGAGAGACAAGAGGGGAGACAAGAGGAGAGGCAATAGGAGAGACAAGAGGGGAGACAATAGGAGATACAATAGGAGAGACAAGAGGAGAGACAGGAGGAGAGACAGGAGGAGAGACAAGAGGAGAGACAATAGGAGAGACAGGAGGAGAGACAGGAGGAGAGACAAGAGGAGAGACAAGAGGAGAGACAGGAGGAGAGACAGGAGGAGAGACAAGAGGAGAGACAGGAGGAGGGAGAGACAGGAGGACAGAGGAGGAGAGAGGAGAGACACAAGGACAGAGGAGAGGAGAGATAGGAGAGGAGAGGAGAGAGGAGAGACAAGAGGAGAGGAGAGAGGAGAGACTAGAGGAGAGACAGGAGGAGAGAGGAGAGGAGAGACAGGAGGAGAGACAAGAGAAGAGAGGAGAGGAGAGAGGAGAGACAAGAGGAGAGGAGAGAGGAGAGAAGAGACAAGAGGAGAGACAGGAGGAGAGACAAGAGGACAGAGGAGAGAGGAGAGGAGAGACAGGAGGACAGAGGAGAGACAAGGGGAGAGACAAGAGGAGAGACAAGAGGAGAGAGGAGAGACAGGAGGAGAGACAAGGGGAGAGACAAGAGGAGAGACACAAGGACAGAGGAGAGACAAGAGGAGAGACAGGAGGAGAGACAAGAGGAGAGAGCAACATTTGATGATTGACACCTCCTTTTAACCGTTAGAGCCAATAGAATCGAGGGGAAGTTCCTAAAATCCCACCCGTTGGTGAATGAGTGATGCGCAGCCAGCATGCCCCGAACCGGAAGCTGTCATACACTCTCGTAGCAGCTAATATGAAAACTCCGTTATTGACATAAATATGAAGATGGATGATCAGTAATCATTTCAAAGGGACGCAGACACATTGGATGAACCTTCAGCCGCGGCTTTATCGTGTTAACGCCATTGAACACGACTTTTGATCAGAAGCAAAAGGTAAGACATTTCTCCCGTTTTTTCTCCGTCAAGCTACGTGGTGTGATGTCTGGGTTTGCTTCCCCTGCCCCGAGTTCTGATCGCTCAGTGATGATACTTATATGTCTGGAATCTGTGGAATCTCAGCTTGCTAGTTGATATCTTGTTTGTGCAGATCCGATAAGTAATAAGGGTATTTTAACGGGAGTTCTGTGCTAAGTGCGTCAGCATTTTTTTCGCTCAGGGCTAATTCAGAGCCTTTGTTATTACCCTTGTGTTTCGTTTAGCTAAAAATGGTTGATATTGTCTGAAAGCTGAGTTTCTACCCGTTAAGTGGGTATGACACATCCATAGTTTCTTAAATGTTAAGAAGCCCTCAGACCAGTGCATGACATTAAGGATTTTGGGAGATGGCCCTGTGGGCCATCTAAGCTAATTTACAGATGGCCCTGAGCCCAATAGAGATTGCCCTGAAAAATGCGCTCGGACTAAATGACGCACGAAGGGTTTGGGGGGCCTCCCCCTAGAACATTTAGATTTGTGCAGGTCTTAGATGCTGTCTGGTGCATTCTCTAGACTGAATTATAAGATGAACCACCGCAATATTATATAGTACAATTTCAATTTTATTCTTCATTTCACTTGTTTGTTTGTTCTTGTTTGTGTTTGCTCGCTTCATGCCCTGCATAGCTATAAGAAACACTTAAGTTGTTGGTCCAGACACTTTCCATCTGATGAAGACAAATGCCTTCATCAGATGTAAACAAGTAGAAAACATTACATTCAGTTATAACTGCCAAAACAAACATTATCTACACTATTATGGCCCCTGTTAAAAATGTTTGTAATGTTATCTACTGTGAGTTGGTCGAACGAATGCCTCCTCATCCGGAAGCTGACCGAGCAGCAGTCGAGCAGCAGTCGAGAGGAGCCGAGCGCATCCGCGAAGCACACAAAATGGCGACGTCAGAGTTCCCGTTAGCCGGCAAATCTAAATCTCTTCGGTCAAAATAATTTCCCTTTAGCGCAATACCACATCAGTTGCGCCACTTATGTGACAGACAAGAAGAGTATGTGACAGACAAGAAGAGTATGTGACAGACAAGACTAGTCAATTCTAATGTCTAACACTTAATGTGGAGAAAGAGATGTCCTGTATGGGTTGATTGTGCGTTGATCTGTTGGTAATGCCTCGGGGTTCCGGTGGGCATGTAAACAAATGCAAATCTGATACCCTCCATTTTCCCATTCAAGGGGGTCGGGATAAATCGGAGGAGCATAGATATAAATATGGAAGAAATACGATGAAACATTTTCAGACTTTAATCAACTTTTACGTCCTCAGACCATTCAGAAAGGATTTAAAATAGAAACACCTGAGGAGGGAACATCAGTCTTCTGTTAAATTGCTCTCAAGCTCACAACCAATGAGTGTCTCCAAACGCTGTGCATAACAGAGACAGAACATTTTAATATCTAAACTCAACGTTTTCACTGCAATTTAAACACATTCAGTGTTTCACGCACTCCTCATGGAGACATTTGGGATATTTATACAATTTAGCAATCTATCGATAACCTTAGAGAACATCAACACAAGCTTTAGTCCTGAGAATATTTCAACCCCTGCATTTTGCTCTGGATGTGATTAAGACTCGATTAATAAGAGATGGTTCTTTTTATTACAGCAGCTCATCATTCATGCTTTCAGAGAGCGTCTCACTTTGTGCACATCGCCGCTAAATGAAGAGCTTTGAATTAGATTTAGGGGAAACAGGAAGCAGATAAACTGAGTTGGGTGTGAAGCCAGTGGAAACATTTCGACTGGTTTTGTTTTTAAAGCCTCTCTAAGTTAGTGAGGCTGGCTTTATGTCACATTTGTTTCTAAATGGTTCGATTACGAAGGAAATGAAGGAGAGATCTAAGTATATGTTGCTTCAAAAGTACGACTTCGAGCCAATTTAAGTTAATGAAGACACCACATTTGCAAAAACGACTTCCAAGCTCTTGTCGATTTAGTCCGGGTTGGGAGGGTTACTTTAAAAGTGTATTACGCCAGAAAAAATTACTGGTTACCTGGAAAAAGAAATCTGACTATAGCAATATAATTACTTTCCATTACTTTGGGATGACCTCAATATGAAATACAATCAGATGGATGCGAGAGATAAGAAATGTGATGAGATGTTTTTCACTGAAGTGTTTTATGTAAGACAGAAAAACAATATGACCTTAGTTTTCTAAGGTCACAAGAAGAAGGTATTTAGAATCAGAAATTATTTTATTGATATGAAAACCTGCCTTTCATGAAGCAGATTCAGCCTATTCAACACTGACACATGCTACAGTTTAAAAAAGCAGGAATAAAATCTGAGCTGACAGAAAATGCTCCGTTTTTGTTTAACACACACAGTTAAGCTCACACACACTATTTTATGAACACATAGGTTCACCAGCTGAATTAAAAAAGAACAAATGATGCAAAGAAAGTGGAAACCATAAAGCAGATTCAGGCAGTAGAAGATCCACACTTACAGTATTGAAAAAAAGGGATATTTTTTCTAAAGGATTGATACAAAATTTATATTTTAGAAACAGAAGTTAGAATTATATGAAAAGTCAGGAATTTGAAAAAAGCGAGTTTTTTTTAATTTGTTTTATAATTTTGTAAAAAGTCAGACATTTTAGAAAAAAAACACCTTTTTGAAAAAAGTGAGAATTTAGAAAAGATTTGATAATTAAAAAAAAAAGTGAGAATTGTGAAAAGTCAGGATTTTGAGGGAAGAAAACGAAATAAAAAGAAAGATTTTTTCAAAAAAGTGACAATTTGGGAAAATTATTGAGAATTAAGAAGTAAGAAGTCAGGAATTTGAAAAAAGTGAGATTTTTTCTAAACACTGAGATTTTCATAAAAAAATAATTTTGAAAATAGTCGGAATTTAGAAAAAAAAATCAAAGGGAAAAAAAGATCTGGATTGAGATAATTTGTTTAAGAAGAAGATTAGAGTCACGTGTAAAACAAAAGCATCCCATAAAGCAGATTCAGGCAGTAGAAGTAGATCCACACTTACAGTATTGAAAAAAGGGATATTTTTTCGAAAAGATTGATACAAAATGTATATTTTAGAAAAAGAAGTTAGAATTATATGAAAAGTAAGGAATTTGAAGAAAGCAAGTTTTTTCCAAAAAAATTATAATTTTGTAAAAAGTCAGAAATTTGAGAAAAAAACCGACATTTTGAAAAAAGTGAGAATTAGGAAAAAAAGTGAGAATTGTGAAAAGTCAGAAATTTGAGGGAAGACAACGAAATAAAAAGAAAGATTTTTTTCAGAAAAGTGAGAATTTGGGAAAATTATTGAGAAATATGTAAAAAGTCAGGAATTTGAAAAAAGTGAGATTTTTTTCAAAAAATTTAATTTTGAAAATAGTCGGAATTTGGAGAATTTTTTTTAGAATTTCAAAAAAAAAATCAAAGGGAAAAAAATATCTGGATTGAGATACTTTGTTTAAGAAGATGATTAGGGTCAGAGATAACAGCTGATTACCTTTTAGGTACCTGTTACAGGAATACCGTTTTTTTGTATCCTGATAACGAAATTCTGTGACATCTAATCCACTTCTTCCCAAGCATGAAACTCTTAAGAAATGTCCAGACAGACTGATGAGAATGAACTGCCTGGTTTGTGTCAATGTATTTCCTGCAAAGTGGAAATACTCTAGTAAAGTACAAGCATCTCAACATTGTAGTCTAGTACAGTACTTGAGTAAATGTACCTAGTATAAGATGATAAGATACTTTATTGATCCCAAATTGGGACATGTTTGCATTGCAGCAGCAACAAAACAACAAAACAAGACATTGCACATAAGTAGAAATTCAAGAGTACAAATAAACAATACTAGAATTTTTCTGACTCAAAATAGAATAAAAGCAGCATTAAAAAGTAGAAAATATACAGTAAGTCACATTTTAGTCTTGATCTGCCCATTAAAGTATTATCGTATCGTATGTCAATGCCTGAATGTCAATGTATTTCCTGCAAGGCCATGTAAGATAATAAGATAAGCTAAGAGGTACTTCATTCTAACATCTCAGAATATAATTAAAGCAGCATTAAAAAGTACAGTAGACGCCACTTCACGATGACACCACAGTTAATCCTAACATCTCTGGTTGAGTAGCATCAGGTGATTTCACGTTGTGTTTCTACACTTCCTCAGGCTGCTTATGGAAAAAAGAGCACCGCCAAGCATGAAATGAGTTCCTGACAGCTGTGAATGCAAAAGTCAATATGCACTAAGGAGAACCCTCAGTGAAAGAGTCCACTATCACTTAACATGTCAGTGTGAAATGCAGACAAGCTAATACCATCAGGTTCTGGACATGAACCTCTTTCTCAGTGTTACATTGCTCAGAGGAGGAAGAGAAAGAACAGATATCTCGTATTCTTTATATATCTGAGACCTGTAATATATTGTTGAAA